CGTATGAAAGAATTATGATTTTAGCAAAATTATTTAATTTTATAAAAATATGGAAGAAAAAATAAATTCAAAGTTAGCCACGGAGTCCAAACGAACGTTGTAGATCTCGTCGATAGCTATGCGTGGATATATAGAACGTCAAAAACAGAGTTCGTATGAATGAGTTATAAATTATACTAGCATATTTACGTATTAAAATAAAGTATAAATCATATATACTTATACATATATATACATATGTATATATCATTAGAAAGGTATCGACACATATGTATATATCATTAGAAAGGTATCGACGATACAGTCGTTATAAGACTAGTGTTGAATACTTTCAACATTAGTTTAGTATAAATATCGTTAAATCTATTTAAAATAGTATTATAAAGAGGTGTTTAGTCATTTAAATAACTATAAAGTCATTAAGTAACTATAGATGGTGGTTTTGAAAATTCAATTACTATAAATAAGAGGCTCTAGGCTCTCATGCTTCTTGCATCATTCTCATGATTCAAGAGTCTTTCTCTTCTTATCGTCGAACATTTCGGTCCCTCGTGATTCGACTTCTCTTTCTGTAATTTTAGTATAGCAATGTGAGCGCAGAAGCACTACAAGAATCTTTTTAGAAAAAAAGATTCAACGACAATGTTCTGACCACGGAGTCCTAAGTTTTCGCTAGAAACCTTGTGAGTTATGTTTACCCTAATTTAAGAAACCTTGACTCCTGTTCCTTGTTTGGTTGTGGGCTTAGGGTAGGATACACGAGTCCGACTGTCGATTAACCCATAGTTATACATGCTAAATACGTAATGGAATATAAAATTTTATCTTTTAAAAGTTTTAATTAACTCAATTGTTAAGCTGAGCAATTGAGCCTTTTCTACAAGTTAAAATCAAAACAAACATCTAGTAAACTATAATATGTATAGTTTAGTGAACATATACAAACAACGAAAGCGAACATATACATATACATTTACATATACAAAAGAACAGAAGCGAACATATACATATGCATCTATGTATACAAAGAACGGAAGAGAACAACATATACATATACAAGAACAGGAACGCACATACACATATACATATACATACAAGTACAGTAAGAATACGATAACTAGAATGTGAAATACTACTTCATGGTACAACAATACATTGTAGTGTCACATTTGTAACCAGAGTCTCCTGTAGGGAGAGCAGGCATCATGTGTATAGATCTATACGGGACAGACACTCCCACACCCTGAATGCTAGCTACAGTCCCAACAGGTAAGGCCAAGGGGTGACAAAATGTCACCTTACTGTTTTATGACGCCAGAAGGTCATCAGGTATTCATCCGTCAATCAGTATGGTTACAACTAATTCACATCTAACCCTTTAATTAACCAAATTGGAATTAAAGGCAATAAGACTCTCTAAGGAGTATAGTACATTTAATACGACTATGAGTCTTCATTTTTATCCTTTCATATTCAGTAGTGTCACTGCTGAGATAAAACATTATATTTTCCTAATAGACGATAGTAATAAATGGGAGAAAACATACTTTTACACAGATATAAAGTACTACTATATTTTTTCCATTTTATTCCAAGTATACATGCAAACATTACATTTTTTTCACGAGAACAAACATGTAAAATAGTCAGGCCTCGGGTAGAAGGCTACTTTACTTATAAGTAGGAAAGGTAGGATTTTCTGGGAAAACTTTACAAACTTTTCAAGGTTTTAATACAAACATTTCGAGGTTTTTAACTACTAAATGACACTAAACACTTATGAACTCACCAACATTTTATGTTGATACTCTCTTTCAAAATAACTTGTATTCTCAGGGAACCAGTAAGACTGGTACACCCATGAAACTTTTGAAGGACGGAGTGGATTCAAGACTCGTCATTATTTTGATTATACATTTTTGGTGTCATTTAAACCTTACTAAAGAACACACATGTATTTCACTATTCTATTAATGCAATGGATGTTGTTGCTTATTTTACTATTATGCATTGTTATGAATACATGATGTCCTCCACTCCCAAATGTTTCCGCCAATTCGGTTTGGGGGTGTGACAATGTTTAAGTTGATTCAGTCATCTAGCAGAGTATAGATGACGAATACAGACAAGTAGGTGTTTTTTAACTACATGTTCACCAGGTGTACTTGTCACACCCCAAAACCATTGAACGACGGAAACGTTTTGGGGTGGAGGACGTCATGTATAGTATCACAACAATGAAAAGTAGTAAACAAGCAACAACATCATCCATTGCATTAATAATATAATTTTAATACAAGTGTGTTCTCTCAAATTATAATAAACACTACAGTATAATTCAAAATGAAAGATGAGTCTTGAACGAGCACCATCTTCTCTAAACCTTACATCGGTACCTGTCTATGGTTGACCTGAGGATACAAGTAATTTTGAAAGCGAGTATCAGCTTTGAAGCTGGTGAGATCATAAGTATTTTAGTGTCTTAATTTGTATGTAAGAATTTGTATGTATAAGAATTGTAAGTATTGAAAATGTATGTAAAACAACTGTAAACGTTTTAAAAACTCTAGGAATCCCTATGATTCCTACTATTATAACAGGGAGTCTTCTACCAAGACTTAACTGATCTATATGTAGCCTTCTACCAAGGCATCTAGTGTCTGTGTGTGTGTCTCTTGTGAGAGTGTGTATTTTCCCAAGTCTGACTATCATTAACCAAAAATATAGTTTCTACATTACCGTGCGTCGTGTGAATGTTTACGAAGTGAATGTAATGGGTAAATGAAATAGTACTATGGTGTAGTGTCGAACTACAACCGTATTAATTACCTTAATTCTAGGGTAATCTCGTAAGTACTGCAGTATTTGTAATAAGTGACTGCCTCTGTACTCCTATTGCCTTATTTGAGGGATAAGGCATAATGTGATGGCTAGATCCCAGGCTAAACGCTCCCCTATCAAAGGGATTTTGAGACCTTTACACGCCCATGCATGTATGCATGCCGTGAACATCCACATTACTATGATCATGTATACCCGATATAACTATCACAATGCGTTGCAATTCATCGATATAGTTAGATCCTGAACTTGTTCTATGCTATAGCACCTAGTGATGTCTGTCCTATCAAAGTATATGTAATCGCACTCATGTAAACGTATATATGTAAACGTACTCATGTAAGCGTAATCATGTAAAAAACATATCTATGCAATAGTATAGTAATGTATTGTAATGTTCTGCGTGTGCTAGTTGTAACGTGTGTTCTCTCTCTATCTAGCATGTATAGTAATGTACTGTGTGTACTAGCTGTAATGTATGTTCTATCTATCTAGCAAGTATTGACTCATGAATGAACTGACTCATTGTATGATATCGCGTTCTAGTAATAGTCCTAGTATCTTCCTAAACTACCCCTATGGTAGCTTACTAGTAATATAACTGGTACGTAGGAACATGGGCGTATACCCTTGCTCCCCCAAGGGTATTGAATGAACTGGAAGAACCTTTATGACTATATATGTACACATGATATATAACTAATATTTAAACGACCTTCGGACGGGTACCCGATATCCCACCAGACCACATCTCAAGCACGAAAAGGAAATAGGGTGGATAGCCTTCCTAAGTCTTTTAAACATTCCTTATATAAATATACATATATAGGCATGCAATTTATAATATAAAAGCATAAAGTAGGTTTTGTAAAACCTTTGAACATAATTATTATCTAAGAAAAGATTGACTTGATGTCAATCTAGAAAACGGTTTGAAGGCATGGGTTTGATAAAACAGTTTAATATAAAGAAACATTTGTTTGAAACACAATTGTAAATGAGCTAGAAATGAAACATACATAGTAAAATGTACAGTGTAATAAGGAGTTTTAAACACATAAAGTGTTTATGAAAAACATTTGAAGTAAATTTTTTGGTAAAACAACTAATGAGTAGCCAATCATTTGAATGTTGCTTACTAATCACATGTGATTGATATAGTAACTAGCATGATTCTACTTGTATCCCCCCCCCATAAAACATTTAAAAACAATTAAAACGTTGATTAAGGGGTATGAACTCACCTGTTGTGGGTGATACGAATGAACTAAAGAGGTAGGACTGCTAGGTGTCAAGTGAAGACTTTAGACACACACAATGGTCCTAATTACATATGAAGACATATGTATATAAACAATTAGTGATTATAACACAAATTAAACACGTATAAACATCCTAATGCGAGGAAAACACTTTTGGTTAAGTGCTAAGAGGCTAATGGGTTGCAACAAAGGAGTGCAAGACCTCATATGGAAGTTTATGGTCAAATTACCATGTGTGTTGGATTTTACGGCCCAGGGGAGTAAACTCCTGGCCATAAACTCTCAATAGGGTCTCTAAATGAAGCTTGGAATTATTATAACTTAAGTGGTGAAGTGCTTCTAGGCTTAAACGAGTGTTTGGGCTTCTTTTTAACTCCATTTAGGAGTTCACGGCCTTGGGACCACTCCCCCATGAGTTTACGGCTGTAAACTCATGGTAAGGAGTACCATTTGATGTTTTGATCAAGTTCCTAACACTTCAAAGATATGATCTGAGTTGGGTTCTAAGCATAAGGAAAGAGTTAGGGTGTCATTTGTCCCATTTATAGGGGTTTACAGCCCAAGAACTTCTCTTGGCCGTAAACTCCTTTATCCTTGTGATTCCTTATGTTTTCTAGGCTATAAACACTTTAGGGTACATGTCTAAATTAGTCTCTTGCCTTAAGGAAGGTTTTTAGGGCATTTTGGCACACAAATATGGAGTTCACGATCCAAGAACTTCCTTGGCCGTGAACTCACTTTCACCCTTGATTCGTAATTGTTTTGGTGG